GTTATAGCTAGGTGGATTTTCTCGGTCAAGTTGGTAACATTTCCCAGCAGGTGATTGGAAACACCACAAATCAAAAAAGGAGGGTGAGATTCCCAAACGATTCTGCCATGGTTGAGGGAAACAAGTTTGTTATTTGATTCCGTCACGGGAAAATGGACAACTCACTCCATCACCAAATAGAGATTGTTAAAGGTAAAGGTAGGTAACTGGTTGCTGACCTTCATATACAGCATTTGTACAGCACTTTGTACCAGCGACTTCTTTTTTGTCTCTTTAGAAGTATCGCCGTCATCAGTGATTAACTACTGTGAGCCGATAAGTACTAATCCATTTACTTGGAGCACGTTGGAGAGCACCTTCGCTCATGTTAATGGGAACCGGTTTCTGGTCATTTACCATGCATAGTTCGGGAAAAACAACACAGCATTAGTGGATGATCAATGAGCAATAGAATAACATTAATTTTCAACAATTTCTACCTTTGCCTTACCCTTCCCAATAAAGTGGTGTCCTGTTGTTTCGAACCTTGCGTTTCGAAGAACTTTCTGTAGGACACCTTCTCGCGCTCTCTTTCAATTTGCAACTTGTTTTTCGGTTCTCTATAGTTGGGCCATTCAGGTGGTAGAGAGTGAATGAGGGGAGGGAATAGGTTAGTTTTTGTTCTTGTCTATAACTAAAATCCAAAGCCTTCCTTATATTGCAAGCGTTTTCTTATATTGCCAGCGTTTTCTTTCGAGATATCGTTTTAGTTTCTGTGAAGCATATGATAATCTTTATGAAGTACTTATTTCTCCAATTTTCCACAGGCTATTCGATGGATTCCTGTAGTTATAATTGTGTGCGCGATCGGATGGGGTTACTATGCATACGTCGTCGAATTATGTATTAGTAAGTTCTTTTTATCTATAAAAATGCGATGAGGTCAAACGGTTATTGCATTTATTCAACATTTCCTTCATGATTTTTGCAGATACAGTGGACAATAACATTCAGCGGGTGTTCTATTTATTTTTCTTTCACGTTTTCCTTATTTTGTTCGGTGTTTCGTATTATCGCACGATATTCTCGCCTTTACGTCTACCCCCTTCGATCGTGAGTGAATTATCGAGTTTTCAAGCATTTTCAATTAATTACAGTTTATTTACCAAGAGGAATCTAGGGACATGGCTTTCATTTTTAAGGCAATACGTTATTGAACGTGTTTTGGACTTGAATTTCGAAATATGTAAACTTTAAGGAGTAGTTCAGGAGCAAAGTTATACAGTTGCTTCGTCGCGGTCTGGGATAGACACACAACATGGGTGTAAAAAGCCGACTCGCGAGAAAAGTCATTCAACACTGAATTCTCAGAAATAATCCAAAACTCTCAAAAAGCCTCTCAAAGTTTAAGTCGACATCGTGAATGATAGGCTATTTTCTTAAGATGAGTCATGTAAACAAAAAATGGTACGGGAATTCATCTGTTCCTTTAGTTTTATAACGGCTTCATAATGCTGAGCCCATTTGCACTTTCTGTTCCCACTGGTCTGTGATATATGTGTGCCTATCCTCGATTGTCGCGAGCACTTTCCCTAATTTGTTCATACTTTTTTGGCAACTGGAGGAGACATTTCGAAATCAATATACATAAAGTCTCTTAATATGGGAATAACAGTAATCAAATCAAACTGCTAACCTTTAGGTTCAAGAAGTTGTAAAGTGAATATTCTAGTTTCAGTTCTTCCCTGATAAGACTTGCGTGAGTGAACTAGAAAGCTGTCAACGGGATGAACAACTAGAGCAAGCTATTCTCTCTCGTTATGTGGCTAGAAATAGGATACCTGTAAAAACGAGGGATTTCGC